CCCCCCCCCTCCTCCCCCCCTCCCTCCCTCCCTCCCTCCCTCCCTCCCTTCCTCCCCCCCTATTTTTCTCTGAGTGTATATGTGTAGGTACCTGCAAAGGCCAAAAGAAAGCATCAGATTCCTGAAAGTGGAGTTGAAGTGCCTGTGAGCCACTGGATATGGATCCTGGAAATGAAACTTGTGTTGTTTTTAATTATCTAACAGTGATAGATAAAAAGAAAGTAATAGACAGGCACCTTACTGATGTAACAAAATGCCTGACGGAAGTTAAGTAAGAAAGGGAGGGCTCATTCTGTTTCCAGGTTTTAGGGCACAACTTTGGTTGATAGAGAATGTGACCACATCACATCCTCAGTGAGGAAGCAGAGAGAAAGAGAGAGACGAATACTGGTCCTCGTCTCACTTTCCTCTTTTTATTCATTCCCAGATGTCCGTTCATGGAATGTTGTGACCCATATACATGGTGGGGTTTCTCTACACAACTAAATCTTTTTGGAACCATTCTTAAATAGATGTGTTCCCATGGTAATTCTGAATGCAGTGAAATTTGTGGTGAAGACTAGACTTCACACTGGGGGAACTGTTAAAGGAGGAGGAATGGCCATCATTTATCTTACATTTCCCTCACACTGACTACCCAGTGAATTATACACAATGCCCACCTCCAATTGTTTTGCTTTTTGTTGAAGTAGGAGCGGCGGGGCTGCGTCCCCGGCACCCGGCCGCCCTCATGGCTAGGTTATGCCCCGAAATAATTACACGGAAACTGTACTTTTTTAAACACTGCCTGGCCCATAAAATAAAGAATCTTATTGGCTAGCTCTTACATATTGTTCTAACCCATTTCTAATATTCTGGGTAGCCCACGAGCTGGCTTACCAGGGAGGATCCTAACCTGCATCTGTCTGGAGCGGGAGAATCATGGCGACTCCCTGACTCAGCTTCTTTTTCCCAGCATTCTGTTCTGTTTACTCCACCCACCTAAGGGTTGGCCTATCAAGGGGCTTAGGCAGTTTCTTTATTAATAAAAAATCACTCCCACATCAGCTTTTGAAGTATTTTCCTATTTCTAAAGAAGTATGGAAAGAAATAGTACAGATTCTCTCCTTTACTTTTCTAATGATAATTAGATTTGCTATCCATTGGCAAATCATATTTTTAAAATGAAAACAATTACTCATTAAAGGTTGCTTCAGAAAGTTTCAAGGTGGTATAAGTGGTTTTCAGCTCAAGGATCACATGTGATTAGAATATATGACCTAGATGTGCATTGTCGTTGCCATTAACCTGTACTCATCTATCTTAGATTTCCTTTCTTGGCTTCATTTCCCAATAGATGATGCTTTAATAAAGAGACACATAGTTGTTCAATCAGAGGAGACTAACAGACTATGAAGGGCTCATCCCTTAATGGGGACATTACAGCACATGCCTCCTCTCACAACTTAGATACCATCATAGAAGAAAGAGTATATAAATATTATAAGAGCTAGAGGTTGGAGAAGAACATGGGAAGTTATTTTCTACACATGATGAACTCTTTGTACACATAGCCTCATAGCAGTTTTGACCAAATACACAAGATCTACACAAAATCAAGCCATTCAAAACCATATCATGGTTGAGGAAGGGGGTTTTGTAACCTACTTCTAGTTAAGGAGATTTTGGCAACTATTGACTGCAGGGGAAGGTTGTCTACACTCCAATTGATAGCCCTATACCCATGAACTTACGGACAATACAAATCGGACTAATTTAATTTTTTAAAGTACATAAGCCAAGAAAAGAGTTCTGGTGGAGGTAAGCTGGGAAGATTTGGAGGGGAGGGACTGGGGAAGACTTTGATCACAACATCATGGATACTTATATAAAATCCTCTTAAATAATTAAATAAAAAGTAAAATTTACCCCATCAGAGTAAATTTAAATGGGTATTCACACAAACTCTCTAGAATGTCTCTAAATAAAAATAGGACATTTTTTCTTGATTCTCTAGAGGATTATGAACTAGATTTCTGTTAAAAATATATTACTGCTAGTTTCATAAATCTCAGTGTCCAAATATTCGTCCAATATTTGAGAGGATCAGTTGAAATGTACTAAAGGCAAACATTTTTCAAGTTATTATTAGATTGTAGAAATATATGGTGAAGTTGCCCTTGGAAAAACAAGGACATCCATAAAAGGGAGACTTAAAAAAAACAAAAGCATATGCTTAGCTCTTGTCAGCAGGGTTCCAAAACCGAACCAGTTACTCAAGATGAGTGATGTCAAGCTTACTGTCTTGGGTGGTAAAGGAACAGGGAAATCAGGTGAGTTTTACTGTCTTGTCTAGCATGACGAGAGAGACAAACTAGGACATTAAAATAGCCATATATTATACAAGAAGTTATAATAAATTCAGTCTGTTAAATAATTTGTATAATTTTTTGTGTGTGATTTTTCAAACTGTTTAGTTATGAGCGGTTTTAGGAGGTGAGCCAATGCAGTTGCTAAAAATATGAATCTGTATCTTTTTCTATTGATGTTTAAAATTCTAAAGACCAACAAGAGGCCATTTTATCACTTTCCTGCCTCTTACCCCAGTACTCTTGCCTGCAAACCCACCAGTAGTGAATTGTCCAGATGTGTGGGTAAGGTGGGCAGAGTTGAATGGAGTACGGAGTGTATTTTTTTTTTATTGGCAACACTACAAAAGGGACATGACTGTCTGGAGACACGGCTGTGTGGACACTCTGGAACCTAGCACAAAAGGCCCTAATTCTGGAATGTGCTAATTCTCTTTTGCTTGCTTTATTTGATTCTGCTGCACAATATCCTGGCAATAAGATATCCACCAATGAATAACAGCCTAACAACAAGAGATGAGTAACTAGCAGACTTGGGTGTTTTAGAAAGACAATAATCCGTTTGAGTCTTAAACTATTTCCAGGGCACTAACTCTCTGTATCCCTTACAAACTGCACAAGCTGGACACAGCTTCCATCCTTCCTACACATAGAGCCTTTGAACAAGATTTATTTAATAGGGTTGTAAGAGCTTTGAATTTCAAATATAATGAGTTTTATATTTGGACTTTAGAAGGTAAGGCAGTGTACATGTTTGACGAATTTTGTAACAATTTACCTGTATAACATGTAAGATCACATATTTCTATTTACATAATCATGGTTTTCCACAGCTTTTAGGCCAGAATTCAGTGATATCTTAAGCTCTTATCTAAGGCTTGCTGGTTACTGAGTGAAAATCAAGTTGATGGACCTAACTGAATATCAGTATTTTAAAATAAAACAAACCTAAATTTTGTCTATTTATTTAACAGCACTTACTGTAAGGTTTCTTACCAAGAGGTTCATTGGAGAATATGCTTCGAATCTTGGTAAGTCGCCGCTGTACAATTCTACCCTACTTAATGTTTCAGTATCACACTTTAACTTAGTTAAGAACAGAGAGGCACATTGACAGAATCTGCTATTTTTACATTCATTAAAATGTTTTAATTTAAAGACTCTAGTTTTAAATACCAAAGTAAGTATTTGAGTGGAATGTTTTCATCATCAAGATTACCTAATATGATGAATTAGAAAGTCAGGGGTTTTCAAAGTCTAAAACTAAAAAAAAAAGTAAAGTTGTAGTTATCTTTCTTAAATGCCCCAAAGCATGTTCATTCATTTTTTGCAAAGTGCAAAAAGGTTTTGATAATTAACATCTGTTAAACGATTAGTATTCACAGCAAAAGACTAGTGAAATACTTAAGGATTAGTATTCACAGTATCCACAGAAAAAATACCCATGAAATGACGCTTGTAAAAATGGTGTAAAAATAAAAGAATGACACATTAATTAAACGTCATATTGTTATCTAGGCTGTTTCTATAAATTTTAGAGAAATTATACAGAACTTGCAATATAATCCTAAGGTCATTTTACTAAATCTGACTCAGTTTTTACTCCATTTATTTTTATCTTAGGATATAGGAGATACCACAGAATAAAATGAAGAAATTTTGTTAGACCCTTAAGTATACTTTTTGCTAAGAGATTGATCAAAATAATGGAATTTATATCCTATCTGATAAAAGACCCGAGGTTAATTTTTTTTCAACAATAGCAGAACACTAGGAAATGTAAGGGAGTCGTTTTTCTTCTATATTACTTATTTAGTGTTAAAGAGGTCATATTTTTTTTTCTTTGAGAATCACAAAAAACATTTGTTCTTGAGAAGGCATTATCAGCATATTGCTAAAAGTGGTTTTAAAGATTTGTGTCACATGGCTTTCTGTGTGTGTGTGGCACAGTATTTCCACTCGTTTGACAGTGTGAACATTTTAAAACAAGTGTTTGAAAACTGCCTACAGAAAGAAAGCTGCAGAAAATCAGAAATTTCTATGTTTCATTTCAAGGAGCAAAAATCTCAGGCACAGAGGTCAACATAATATACAAGCCAAGATGCCTGGCTGAGAAAGTTTTCCCTGAACAGAAAAGAGACTTAATGCAAACAAGATAATGCAGTCTCTAAAGGCGGCAACAATGAAACCTTCACCTTAATCCTTTCTACAATGCAGTTAAATAAACAAATGAAATGTTTACACGTTCCCAGCTGTGACATCTCCGTGTATAATATAAGACCTGAAGACATTTTGAAAATATAAGCATGTGACCCAAAGGTCTCCAACGCTATGGAAACAGGCTAGCAAAAGCAACTTCATCTTGTCAAGGAAGGATAGAAGGGGAAATTAAAACACTCTAAAAACAGTTAGAGATGACAGCTCTTACCAATGCTGTGAGATTTGAGAGAAAGTGTTTTAAACTGTCTGGGAAAGTTTATATTCAGGGCAAATAGTAAATGTGCGAAGTTTAGAAAACAAAAGAAAACACCTCTGTAAACAAAATCTGATGTCTGATGAAACTATGACCAATGTTCTATTTGTACGGATTTTAAAAGTCAGTCTTCATCCTCTGAGGAAACATGCATTCATCAAATGTCTGGTTGTTTTGTAAAATAGAGATTTATTGACTTTATTTTATGTGCATATATGTGTCTCTGAGTTCATGTGGGACATGAACACAAAGGTACCTTGGGAGTTAAGAAGAGGGCATCAGATTCTAAGAACTGGAGTTACGGAAAGTTTCGATCTACGGGTGCTAAGAAATGAACCTAGGACTTCTGCAAGAGCAGCAAGCACAAAACACTGAGAAATCCCTCTAGCCTCTTCTATTACTTCTTATTATGGGTTACAGAACAATTTTCAGAGTTAGTCAAGTTTTTGTGTTAGTGTGTTAATTTGTGGAGAAATAGAGCTGGAGGAAGGGTTGGAGAAATTATCCATTCACTGATTAATGAAAGAAAGCTCATATTCATTCATCAAAGAATATTCATTGAATAACTGTTATAGTCCATATATTTTCTATAGTAATGGGGTATGTCAGAGCACAAAAGAATAAGTGTTTAATTTATCATAGAATTTGTAATATTAAAGAATGATTTGTCAACCCAAGCCAAAAATTATGTAATTTGATGATAAATGCTATAAAAATAAATAAAACCAGAGAAAAGAATGGATATGGTATGTATTATATTTTGCAAGAGTCAAATGGCAGAAGTGATTGTTTTCAGTACCAATACATGGGGAGCACAGCCACAGGGGCTTATTCAATCCCCAGGACAGCCTAGAATATGTAGAGGCATACTGCCTTAAAACAAAAGTAAAAACAAACGATAAGAGGGCAAAACTTTTTTTAAAAAGGTATCGGTAGAGCGGAGACTTGCTGAAGAAGATATGTAAGGAATTACATCCCAGGTGGTGGAAGGAATAAATTTCAAAGTTTGGATGTGACAAGCTACTGACAAAGTAGAGTAAAATCCAAGTTGGTCGATAGTGGACAGAAGGAGAGAGATATACATAATACACAGGGCTCTGATCCATGACAAATGGTACAAGACAGTGAGTATAAACTGCATCCAAATGTGGAGTGTGGGGAAATGGTGAAGTTTGAATTAAAAAAAAAACTTAAGAAACCTGACAATAAGTAAAGAAAATTAAAACAGAAATAGAATATGCTGTGTGAATATCATATGAAGGGAATAATTGAGATTTTGTCAGTGATCAAATATAGCAGTGCAACTAATGAGGTGTTAAAGATTGAAGGTGAGTATAAATGTATTGAGCATAAACCATTTTCACGTGTTTAGAAGGTGTTGATAATGAGAACCTACTAAAATGCGAGATGGCTCGTGTATAAGTTGCTTTATTCCAAGCCTGAAGATCCAACTTTCAACCCGAAATTCATGCTGTGGAAGGAATTTACCTTCTTTCTTCCACATAGCACACACACACACACACACACACACACACAGAAAGATACACACACACTTACATTCATTAATCAATCAATAAAAGTAATAAACAGTAAAGAAATTTGTAGGGATGAGGCGAGCAGGTCTGCTTTTCGTTTTGCCTGGCTTCTGCACAGCTAGCTTAGCCCTGGAAATAATAACACAGAATCTGTATTCATTTAGACACTGCCTGGCCCATTAGTTCTAACCTCTTATTGGCTAGCTTTTACATATTGATTCAACCCATTTCTAATAACGTGTATCGCCACTTGACTGTGGCTTACCAGGATGAGTCTAACTGGTGTCCATCTCATAGAGGAGAGCCGTGGCATCTGCCACACTGCCTTCTACTTAGCATCCTGTTCTGTCTACTCCACCTACCTAATTTTCTGACCTATCAAAAGGCCAAGGCAGTTTCTTTATTTGACCAATGAAAGTAACATATAGATAGAAGACCCCCCCCACTCCAGAAATTCATGGTAGAGGAGACAGAACAGAATTTCTGATGATTTGTTTATTCATGAATGAGAAGACATTTTAATGTGTTGAGAGGGTATGAATGAGTCTTTGGTAGAAGTATCTGTATTATACCATAGGAGGATAAACAAATGAGTAGACACAACTAATTTAAGGGATCAGCACAAAATATTCATGGTTTCGTCACCAGCCCTGAGCAAAAGATACTCTACTATCCTGTGAAAATATGACTGTTGCAAGTCTGGAGATGACTTGGTAGTTAAAAGCATGCTATTCTTGCAGAAGACCTGGATTGGTCCAGCACCTACATGGTAGGAAATAATCATCTGTAACTCAGGTTCCAAGAGATCCATTGTTCTCTTCTTTCTCTGGAGGCACCAGAGACACTCGTAGACAACACACACACACACACACACACACACACACACACACACACACACACACACACAGAGTAATAAATCTTCAGTAGAAATAGCCCGAAAATATGACTTGCTGAATTTGGCAGATCAAGGCCAACTGCTAACAAGTGTTTATTTTGAAGTTTTCCCATAATGACAAAGAGCACATATTTCTTTTTCAGAATCTATCTACAATAAGCAGTTGTGTTTGGATGGGAAAGCATTGAATCTGGAAATATATGACCCATGTTTTCAAGTAAGTCAAACAAAACATCCCTTTGTTTTACTTTTCTTCAAGCATAATTTAAAGAGTAGTGGAAATGAATATGCAAAATAATGCCAACACTAAAATAAAATTTCTTATTAATTTTAATTATCAAAATGTTGACATTTCTTTTAGTATAAATTGTATTATTGAGATTCCTATAAATATTGATTAAAAGTTAGCATAGAAAAATACCTTTAATGCACAATAAAAGTGAGCCCTGAAAATAGTTTTAACAACAATCTTTTAGATTTTATTTCATGTATACGACTGGAATCACAGATGGTCGTGAGTGACCATGTGGTATTAGGAACTGAACTTGAACCTTCTGCATGAGCAGTAAGTACTCTTAGCTATTGAGCCATCTCACCAGCCCATTAAAAGGAATCTTTTTAATTTTTTATTTTAATTTACCTTTTAAATTTCATTTTATATTCCCTGTTCTCCTACCCCCACCCCTGTCTTTCCTACCAGGTTACTCCCATCCAGTCCTCACAAAGGGTATGGACTCCCTTGGTTAGTAAACAAAGTCTGGCACATTAAGTTAGGGCAAGACCAAGCTCTTTCTCCTACACTAAGACCAAGCAAGATATTCCACCATAGGGAATGGGCTCCAATAAGGTAGCTTATGCACCAGGGCTAGATCCTTTTCCTACTGCCAAGTGCCTCACGGGTAGTCCAAGCTTCACCACTGTCTCCCACATATGGAGGGCCTAATTAGGTCCCATGGAGGCTCCACAGATGTCGGTCTAGAGTTGCTGAGTTTCCATAAGCTAGGTTCAGCTGTCTCTGTAGATCTCCTCCTCCTAGCAGTGGTCATACATATTCCTGTGAGTTCATAGTGTAGGGGTCAGAAATTAAGAACGTCTTGTCTTTTCAGTTTATATTTCCACTAAATTGTCTACATTTGTAACTGGTTTTCAGTAGAGTATACATAAGACAAATTTTGAATATAAATTTGTTTATCTTGTCAATATACTAAAATATCAAAATAATCTTCCAATTATAATCTCTCAAAATATCTTCTCATCATAAACATGATAAATAAATGGTCAGCTTTCTAACATTTCCAAAGAAGTTATTGACTTGTTTTAGCTATTTTACCCTAAATTATCCTATAAATCTTTTTAGATAAACTCATAATTTTTTCCCTTTCATGGAGTTGAATCTACTATTGCAAATAAACAGATATTCCAGGTTGGGGAGGTAGCTCAGTGGGCAAAGTGCTTGCCATGCAATCATTAGGGCCTGAGTTTGGATTTCTAGAATCCACGTAGAGCGAGGTACTGTAGCAGACCTGTGTAATTCTGACACTCCTGTGCTGTGATGGAAGGAGACAGGAAGTCTGTGCACAAGACAGCCTGTTGTCCATAACAAAAGATCAAGCAAGGTAAAAAAGGAAGAGCCAACACCTGAGGTTGTTGTCTGACCTCTACATGTTTGCCATGCTTAGGATGTGACGACACTGACACGTGTACATGCACGTGTACAACCCAAACACACACACACACACACAAATAAAAATAGTCTGCTAATTAGCATAGATGCTATGCTTTATTCAAGACAGATGTGTGAATATTAATTTAAAAAACATCATATCAAATTTTTAGAAAAATATTTTTTGAAGAAAGTTGTAAAGTGAGATAAAAATAACTATGATAGGCTTTTGTTTTAGTTTAAGAAAGACAGTGATAAGAAAGAAACCCCGAAAGCACACCTTAGAAGTTATTGTTCTTTAGAAATGATTGTTCTTTAGCCTTATCGAACTCTCCCTCAGGTGAAATGGGTAACTATGAATTAACTGAAGCATAGAACATTGTTGTGAATGTGCTTGGTTCATTTTCAGCCGCAGAAGGCAAAGTGCTCCCTCACAAGTGATCTGCACTGGGCAGACGGGTTTGTGATTGTGTATGACATCAGCGACAGGCCTTCCTTTGCTTTTGCAAAAGCCCTTCTCTGCAGAATCCGGGAGCCACCAACTACTCATTGTAAAAGGTAAGACATTTCATTTTCATCCCCTTTCCATTTTCGTAAATCATCATCTTGCCCTGAGCATCATTAGGAAGAATTTAATACAGACTTTCAATTACAAAATTTAACAGCCCTGAACAATTCCCCTTCCCATTCCACAGGAGCTACACACGTAGTAAAAGGAATCAGATGAGGATGCTTTATGTCCTGGCTGACATAAACAGTTACTTGCCCCGAGTAAATGGGCATTTTACAAGATAGCTTCTATTGTTAACATGACACGCACTAGCAAAATAATGGTCCTCTCTACGACAGATACTTCACACTTCCACCTTTCCTTCCCGTTCTCACGAAAACGTTGAGAATCCTAAATAAATCCGGATTTGTTATGTTTGGTCTCCTGTGAAATCCAGTTCCTCATTACTGGTTACCCGGAATGTCAAAGCAAAAACAGACTGAATAGTCCACATCTACACATGGTAAGGGTGGAGATACTTTTTTTTTTTTTTTTCAGCTCTACCCAAGATAAAAACATGGTCAGCATTTCACTGCTAACTGTCTAGGCACACAGGACAGTGAAGGAAGATGACTGTGTCTGAGAGTTTTGGCTCTATTAATGAAACACTTAGCTGTTTGAGAGTCTTTGTTTTATCTCTCTATCTTTGTTGCTTCAGCATATCTCCTTGAAAGTGTTCGTTTTTGTGCAAATGCCGATGTGAGGAGTTACATAGTTTCTTATCAGTGTTGCCACGTGGTCCTGGATGATGGTACGATTGAGTGGGGTTTTAAAGCTCCTAATCTTCTAACTGATAATTGCTACGTGGGTTTAACACAACATCTGTAAAAGATAACTAAATTAGTTACTTTTGCATAGGTGTGACACTGAACCCAGCAGAAAAAGTTTAGGGCATGACGGATTTATGTTGGTTAACAGGTTCAATTGTTCAGCCTATGTCACATGTCTCCTTGCTTCTGGACTTTGGGGTGAGGTAGAATCTTATGGTTTTGTGGTGGGGCTATTTCCCTATGTTGCTTAGCACAAAGAGAGACAAAGTAGGGAAGATTACAGCCAGCCCTGATTACTATACTTATCCTGAAATAAAGAATACTTGTGTCCTCAAAGCTCTAAACTTAGAGAGCCTTGCTTGTGTTATTTGTTCCTTTCTGTGGAAAATGATTTTGTAGCACTGGGGATATGTGTCTCTAAGCACACACGTGACCATCTACGGTCATAAGCATAATACCTAATAGGACTTATTTTTGACTCTTTGTCCTATGGATATAACCTATGTTACTTTCCAGAGTTGTTGACAGAATCTTGAAAAAGTTACTAATTGTGTTTCAGGATGGTGGAACCAGCTGTGGTTTTAGTTGGCAACAAGCAAGACCTCTGCCACATGAGAGAGGTTGGCTGGGAAGAAGGGCATAAGCTAGCAATAGATTTCCACTGCCAGTTCTGTGAACTGTCTGCAGCAGAGCAGTCCTTGGAGGTGGAGGTGATGTTTCTCAGACTCATCAGGGACATTCTGATGATCTTCAAACACAAGGAGAAGAGGAGATCCAGTGGCTCTAAATCAATGGCCAAACTGATCAATAATGTATTTGGAAAAAGAAGAAAATCTGTTTAGAAGATATATAACACAGGGGACTTGGTCCATCAGAGGGTTTCAAACATTTACTATAACAAACATGATTTATATAATTAAAAGACAAATTTTGGGGGGATATATAAAATAAGTGAAAATGAGTCATGACTGAATTTTAAAATATGTAATTTGTCTCTTTGGTTACATCTGGCTTATATTGCTTCCCACATAAATGCTCACTTCTTGTACAAGTGAATACCCACTCTGGTGTTTCAATAGAGAACTGTCCCTGTGCCTTCCTGAGAAAACTGCTGTACATATTGTTCAATTAAAGTATTAGTTTAAAGTGTGTGGTTTACTTTTAAATTCTGTCATTGTTTTGAGAAAAACAAATAGATATTGATACAACTAATACATTGTATGGCCTAAGTTATTGATTTTAAAATGACTTAATAATATTTAACAGATTTTTGCTTTAAAATATAATTTAGAGTTGGATGTGTAAGGCTAGCTGTTCATGAATAAATATTTTGCAGTTTAGGAAACAATGAAAAAGTTGTGTTTTATTAATTAGTTACTATCTTATAGCAGCAAGATATTAAAAAATATGTATAGCGAATTCAAGTTAATGGAAGATTTTTTTGTTGACTTTCAATTTGAAGGGATATAGTCCATAATTCAGGGAAGTCATGATGGCAGTATCAAGCAACTGGTCACACTGCATCACCAACCAAGAAGCTAAGACACTTGTGTTTACCTGACTTTCTCCTTTATTTTACTTTCATTGATTCTTGGACATCAGTCATCAATGGTGGGTCTTTCCTACTCAGTGAGGCCTCCTGGAAGACATTCTCTCAGGCTTGCACAGTTGTGTGTCTTCTAGGTGACTCCAAAACCTTGCAGGTCAGCAGTGAAGATCAGCCTCTGCAGTCTCAGAGACATTGCTCACAAAGAACTTCATGGATAGCATTAAGATCCTTTGCAAATTAAAAGTTATCTAGGTTAGTTTATCTAGGGGAATAAAACATAACTAGTTTGGTTTCTATTGCTGCAATAAAAACCATGGCTATAAGCAATTTCAGGAAGACAGAATTTATTTTGTCTTACAGGTTTTATCTTACTTTGGAAAGAAGCCAGGACAGGATAGATGAATGCTCCTCACCAACTTGCTCCCTGTGTCTTGCTTAACCACCTTTCCTATACATTCAGGTTCACCAGTTTATACTTGTACTCATATCCTTGTACTTTTGATAGTTTTTTGGAATCTCCTACACCAATTAGCAATCAGGACAATGTGATGGAGGCAATTCTGTAATTGATATTTTCTCTTCTCGGGGTGTGCAAGCTTGACAATAATTAACCAGTACAGCTGATAAATTTACAACTTTGAAAGCCTTGCTACAATGAAGCTTTTTTATATAAGTTTTTTTTGGTATAAGATGCAACCATATTAAATCTTGTGGGCTACCATTTTCTTCTAAGACAATGGTAGACCTTCCAGTCTACGGTACTGGCTACCCTTGCTGTACTTTTCCATCCATTATATTTCACTCTGCAGTTATTTGCCTTGCATCTGACAAAATGTTGATAATTATGGTTGGGTCTCAGAGAAATAAAACTCAAGATATAAGCAATGACATACTCCCACTGTGTGGGAACATGACAGAAGAAGCTTTTGAGTATAGGATGGTGAGCTAGAATGGAGCAAGGTGGCCCAAAGTAGAGGATCCACAGACATGAGATCCTCACTCAGCATAAGCCACAATTAATCATATTAGGAAGGAAACCTTGAGATACTATTGTTTCTTAGAAGTCTGACCTTACATCGTTCACTATAATGTTTTTCAATTAAATCTATTTACCTACAAATTTCACAGTCTCATTATTTCTTTACAGTTGCATAATATTCCATCATATATATATATATATATATATATATTACATTTTCATTAATCGTTCATCAGTCAAAGGAAATTCAGGTCATTTCAATTTCCTAGGTATTATGAACAGAGAGGCAATGGGCATGTCTGATCTGTTACGTTGGAAGTCAAGTTCCTTGGGCCATATGCCAAGTAATGGTAGAGCTGGCTTATGTGGCAGATTTCACTTTAGCTATTGAGAAGATCTCCTCACTGATGTCTGGATTGGCTGTACCAGTTTGCAATTCTACCAGTAGTGAATGAAAGTTCTTCTTTCCACGTATCCTGTCCAGCATGTGTTGTAGGCTGTTTTGTTGATTCTTGCCATTCTGACTGATGTGAGACAAACTTTTGAAGTAGTTTTAATTTTCAATGATCTCATTGCTTACAATGATGAATGTTTTATGAGATTTTAGGGTCATTTTAATTTATTTTGGGAATTCAGACACATAGCCTGTTTTATAAATTGGGTCTTTTATTTGCTTCACTATTTGTTTTAATATTCTAGGTCTTAATCCCCTACCAGATGGGTATGTGGAAAAGATTCTCTCCTACTCTACAAGCTTCTTCATTGCTGGCTTGATTCTTTAGTTTTGCAGAAAACTTTTTTTAGTTTCATTAAATTCCACTTGCTAGTTGTTGGTCTTAATTCCTGTGCAAGGGGAGTCCTGCTAAGAGAGTTCTTTCCTGAACCTACAAATGCTTTCTTCTAGCAGTTTAGTGTTTCAGGTTTAACAATAAGTTTTTTGAGTCACTTTGTGTTTAGATTTTGTGCAAGGTTGGTAACTATGGATCTAATGTAAGTCTTCTGCATGGGTTCATTATTAGACAATGATTTTTCTTTGATAGTTGTACTTTGGTGGGCATGAATGTGAGATGCAAAAATCTCTGCAAGATCTAGCCATATACCTTTCCCTTGGACATTCTTCCAATGTCTTTTTTTTTTTTTTTTTTTGCTTTTTGATCTTTCAGTCTTAACTCGTAACAGATCTTTGATCTACTGGTAAAACAACTACTGTCTAGAAATTGGTGTGTTCTACACTAACCTTCTACTCTGTAATGTAGACAGTGATGTGTACTGTATTAAATTTTTGTCAATTGCATAATTTCTTTCTGCTGGTGAATTCCATATTCTATCTGGGTTGTAGGAAATGGCACACAGGTCCTGTGGTTTGTATGTATGCCAATTTCAAGCGAAAGTTTTCTATTGTCTAGAAGTAGTCACTTCTATGTGTGTGTAAAATAAATTTTATTTTTGTGATTTCTCCTAGGAAATTCAATGATGGACTTTGTGTTTACTTATTTTTAGGAATTTTATTGATCTTTTATGTCTCACTATTGATGTTATGTATTTCATATTGACTGTGTATACACACGAACTATATATCAGCACTGAACAACTGTGTGTCTGTTCATGAGTATTGTGTGAATGCAATTACATATGGAGGCCAGAAGAGAGAGCAGGCTTCCTGGATATGGAGTTGTAGGTGGCTCTGGGTTGATGAACATGGGAGATGGGAACTGATCTCTGTTGCTCTGCGTTAGCAAAAAAACACTTTTTACTGTTGATCCATCTCTCCAGCTTCAATAGTCTCAATGTCAGACATTTTCTTTAGCTAAATAAAGTTATTTTGGGATGATTTTTATCTTATATTAACAATTATTTTGGAAATATATGAAAATGTTTATGTTTAAACAGTTTCCAAATTATTTTATATTTAATCAATGTACTTTTTATTTATGACCAGTCTAAGTAAAGTTTCTGCATTAAGGGTATTACTTTTGGGCCTGCAGAGATGGCTCAGGAGTTAAGAGCACTGGTTGCTCTTGCAGAGAACCTGGGTTCAACCCACAGCAACCACAGCTGTCTCTGCCTATATTCCCTAGGGGATCCAACACCCTCCTCTGGCCTGTGCAGACATTATACAAACATATATTCAGGCAAAGACTCATTTAAACATAAAATAAAATCTCAAAAATATTATATAAAATTTATTTGTAATATATAATTTAAAAATCCAAACAAAAGGTACCTTTATTTTAATTAAATATATACAAAATATTAAAATTTTATTGGTTTTATTCTGATATCTTAGTAAAATAATTTCAAATGATACATCTTGTTACAAACAATATCTGCAATGTTATGATAAGAACAAGGTCTCATATTTTCAAAGTCTTTTTATGGTATTCTTTTAGAAATAATGATTTACTATTTATTAGATTGATATCTAAAGTATTACATTGATTATTTTCTGGACAGAGACATCTTTAAAACATTGACAACTACCTTTTCTTGTTATCAAATTACAATTTTTCCATAAACCCCGACCACTGGACTTTAGGGCTCTGTGTTTTGATTCTCAGTAAATGTGATCAATTAAAAATATGACACAAAAATCCATGTTAGAGGAGACAGACCTTCATCATTTTCTATCATTTTTATATCCTGCCTTGAGGATTTCTTGTCAACTCACATTGCACTGTCCAGTGGCACCAGGTAGGGGTTTCCTGTATAATCTGTGGTTCATGAGTAGGTTTATGAGTAACCTGGGTGATTGCAAGTTCCAAAATTTGGAATCTCTGTTGATTTCAGGACAAGCAGAGATGAGTTACCCCCACAAGATTTGCACCTAGTTCCAGACTTCCTTTTGTGATACAAGATGATATTATATAGAATCTGTTCTTGGGAAGTAAGCTAACAAGAAAGGATAATTCATTAAAATCTTCAGCAACCCAGTTAACATGATCTGCATGACTTTCTTGCTGGAGAAAAAGAGGATAAATAGCAAAGCCTCCAAGCAAAGTCAACATCTCTACAACTTGAAGATTCACCAGTACCATTTTCTTGGGACTAAAGTTAACCATAATAAAATGATAAATAATAAAATGACTCGAAAAAACTTTAAAAATAAGAAGCTTCAAATTTTCAACATGAAAGAAAAGTTTCTATCCACAGAAAACCAAATGCATCAACATTAGCCTATGAAGTGTTATAAGCTGTGGGTAGAAAATATGTCTATAAATCTCAAAGGATGTTAAGCTCTGTCACTGGGCCTGGAATAGCCTGTGCAGCTTCTAGTGAAAAAGGGATGCTGTCATTCACTGTGGATGAGCCTCAGTGACATAATGAGGGCCAACAGCTGAAGACGGCATCACCAAAGGGGAGGGGTCCTTAAAATGGTTTTGATTTAATACCAGGCATGCACTATTAATAAAGAGGTTGAATGATACCTGTATGTTTTATAGGTTTATAAATTGGCTGTAGTAAAATATTTTACATCTTAGATCACTAGGTTTTGTTTCAGCTGATTATGGGAGATATCTATCTAGAGTTGACTGAATTGTATTAATCTGAACCTAGTTTAATGATGCCTTAACATTTTTATGGGGGAATTTAATGTTTGCAATATCCTTGTTCCTTATTTGAAAGCGTGACTTATAGGTTTCTCATCTTCCTTAAATTATAAAATCCTTCAGCTAATAAAGGAAAATGATTATAGTTTGCAAAAAAGGCAAAGTCATTTAACAATCCATATAACTGTCTATTGTAGGACTTTGCATAATAATTGTAATTTAGCTATTAGAGATTCTAAAGGCAGTTATCAGTCATACTCCACAATTCTGGAGGAATCAGGCAAGGCCCAAATTATTTAAAGTATTTTAAATTCTCAAAGAAAAAGGCATGCCATAAATTTGAAATATACTGTATCATGACAAGATATTATTTCATAGGAAAAGGAAAATTCCCCCATAATTTTAAAATATATAAGCTACCAAAAAGATTTGTTTTCATCATTTTGGATATGAAATTTATTTTATTAATAAACACAAGTTTCATATTAAGCATATGTTTCTTCAAAGGAGAAATGAACGAACTAGATGTCACCATGGTGACATGGAATTGTCAGCAAGTCTGAGACAGTTAAGTACAGAGGTCAAGGCTACCAAAAATGAATGAAGACTCAAAGATTGATACCTGCAAGTACAGTTATGACTTTTAAGTTCACTAAGAGTATTCCATAACTAGAAAAATAGTATCCTTAAACATATAAAATCTTCTTTGAGTTTTTTGAGTATAGGCTTATGTTCAAGGCCATAAACTATTTACAATTGAAAATATGGGCCATCTGCTCATTTAATAAAATGCTAATTAGTTCAGAGATGTAAAAATCACTGTGGGAATACTTAAAAACCAAGGCATCACAATAGGAACCGTGAATTCCATGTACATACAAATACGGGTGTAGATCCAAAGGGAAATAAATCAGTAATTTGAAGTGATCCCTAATCTTCCATTTACATTTTAGCATTTTTCACAATGGTGAGGGTATGGGATCAGCTTACATGGTGATTATTTTTTAAGCTATATAACTTACATTCATGTTTACTTCTGTTAGAAATGCTCTTATTTTCTTTTTCCCCCATTTTTTTCTTTCAATGAAAATAGATTCTTCCTAATGATATTCTTCTATACTCATAGATTGATTCCTACCCCAGTCTTCATTAGAGAGGCTTCCTACTGCAATAGATAGGAGCAGATACAGAGTCCCACAGTCAAACATTATGCAGAGGAGATAACCGACATTAGAAATCTCCAACAGGTCCCTCTCCTTGGAGTTCAGGAAACCTCACAGAAGAGGAGGAGGAAGGGTTGCAGGAGCCAGAGGGGTTGAGGAGGCCACAGAAACATGGCCCACAGTATCAGCTAAACAGAGCTTATAGGGGGTCTCAGAGCCTGAAGCGGCAAGGCAATCACTGAGCCTGCAGGGGTCTGACCTAGGTCCTCTGAGTATATGGGCATGGTTCTGGAGCTTGGGGTTCTTGTGGGACTCCTAACAGCGTGAACCGCTGTCTCAGACTCTTTTTTTGCCTGCTTTTGGGAGCTTTTTGTCCTACTGGGTTGCTGCATCCAGGCTTAACATTATAAGGAATTGCGTCTA